GATAGATAGATAGATAGATAGATAGATAGATAGATAGATAGATAGATAGATAGATAGATAGATAGATAGATAGACAGACAGCCCAAATAAGCATGTATGTCAAGCTATGCCAAGAAAAGTCTTTTTAAAATCCAAGCAACAGCCTCCAACTTTGCATTACAACTTCTAATATTGAACAGATGTTCTAGGCATTAAGTGCTAGAAATTAAATTGAATTAAATCAGATGCAGTTATTCAACTCACTGACCTGAGAAAACATGTGAAAACTTCACATGACTCCTAGGAAAATAATGTCCTGTTTTGCAGTATAAATATGATGGTATTATAATATGTAAATAGGAGGCACAGAGAGCACATGATATATATAGTTAGGTGTCATATAATATACCAGGGCTTATATATATATATATTTACTGGTGGTTTATTGATATATATGACCTCATCAAGCTTGAAAGCTAAAAAGATTGAGCCCAGTGATTGCTTTGTGTGAAAAATAAAGAAATACCAGAAATATAGGAAGATAAATGGTGGGTTGGGAGGGAGGGAGGGAGGGATGGATGGATGGATGGATGGATGGATGGATGGATGGATGGATGGATGGATGGGGTAACTATTTTTGTAGTTCATAGGTATGTTTTGAAAAAAGCTAGCATTGAATTCAACTTAAAGGGGAATTGATAACATTTCATAGAAGTTAATTTATAGTCAAATTATGTATGCACAGTATGTATGTATTTTACTTATGTGCCACTCAAGCAATACACAGTGGGATATAGATCACAAGAATACCCATAACAGTTAAATTACATTATACCAACCAATATAAGAAAACATTATAATAATGATAATGATAAATAAAGCTTATCAAAGCCAAATAATATAATATTAACAATTTAATATATTTAAGTAATTCTTAATAAAAATAATTAATAAGTTATACAGAATAGCTCATTTTAATTCTAAGTATAATATTAAGCATATAATGAGTCCTTGTAGGTTTTCCTCCCCTTATTAAATGTCATTGTGAAAGAGGGAGAACAATACATATAGAGACTATAACATTAACAATTAACTCTCATCCTCTTCCTTGCTGCAATCAAAAATAAGTTATGCATAGGTACTATGCAATGAGAAAAGTTCTCAGGACCCAAATTCTTCCATTAAAAACTGGGTGGTTTTGTAACTAAATTTAAAAAGTCACCACTAATTCTACAGGTACAGTATCTTAGATATTTAAATCCTCAATTTACCCCAAGATTTTTAATATAAGAAATGTTATTTACCACACAAGTAGGAGAAACAGCAAGTATCATCCAATTTGACTTCTACAATAAACTGATCTTCTCGGCATTCTGGACGAGTAACATTGGGACATGCTGACCTATCACATTCTGAATTTAAAAAAAACAAAGCAATCTAGTGAAATACAACCAATGATTTGCTGTTTTAAGAGTTTAGACGTTATAAGCCTCTAAATGAAAAATATTTTCTCAGTTTCATTCTTCATCCTATCACTTACCACACTGGTATTGAGGACAGCAGGAGAAAGGAGTATATCTGACTGTTAGCTTCTCAGTTCTTTTGCATACCGGGATAATAGGGCTACATAAAGTCATGTTGCACTCTAAAACAAAAAATAGAGTCCTGAATCAAATCAATATATACTTAACCTTTTCATGGGAAGATGATATGGAAAAGATGTATTGTACGTTCCAGTAGTTCTGATTAATAAACAAGCTGATGTGAATATGGACTAACTGTTCTTTTTCCCAAGAAAGCATTTTAAGATTACTGATACTTAATTTTATATTAAATATATAGAATATATTAAAAGTAAAGAATAACTTGTGCTAACATAAAAACTCGTATCTAAAGCTATTCGGCTTCTTATATTAATGTACTATTATTTTAATGTATGCATTAAACTAAAAGCAGAGAAGCTTGAAATTACATAGAGACTAATACATGTCACTGGTTGTCACTGGGATTAGCTCAGCACACAACTGGATTGCCATTTGGTATCCTACCTGTTGTTGCTTTTGCTGTTGTTGTTGCTTTTGTTTTTAACTTCTAAGAGATAATTGAGAATGTTTGCAAAACCCCTTTTTCAACTTTCAGATTGCTTTTGGAATGCTCATGTCTTAAATGACTTTCTTATTATCCATAATTAAACATGTCTATAAGCCTGTATGCCATCTCCTACTTCTCTGTGAGGTGTTACCAAAAATGTGTTTCAATTCATGTTTGCCATCTTGACTTTGGTCAACAAATGATGAACTGGCTATTTCTAGAAGGTAAAAGATAAAAGATTCCCCTCGCACATATGTGCTAGTCATTCCTGATTCTAGGGGGTGGTGCTCATCTCCATTTCAAAGCCGAAAAGCCAGCGCTGTCTGAAGACGTCTCCTTGGTCATGAGGCCAACATGAGTAAATGCTGAAGGTGCACAGAACACTGTTACCTTCCCACCAAAGGTGGTCCCTATTTTTCTACTTGCATTTTTACATGCTTTCAAACTGCTAAGTTGGCAGAAGCTGGGACAAGTAACAGGAGCTCACTCAGTTAGGCGGCGCTAAGGATTCGAACCACCAAACTGCCAACCATTCTGATCAACAAGCTCAGCATCTTAGCCACAGAATCACTTGTGGCTATTTCTACCAGAGGAAGATTTTCCATGGTCTGTGCTCATATTAGATCACAGAAATGAAATATGGTGAATAGATTTTAAAAAAACATGTAAATGTTGACTTTTACAATGATAGATTATTTTCTCACTATACATTAGCTATGAGGAATTTTGGTCTAGTGATTAAGGTACCTGGCTAGAAAATGGGGGACTGTAAGTTCAAGTACCACTAGCTAGCTGGATAACTTTGGGTCAATCACTCTCTCTCAGGCGAGCCCACTTCACAGGATTGTTGCTATGGGGAAAATAGGAGGAGGAAGGTTTGTTGATATGTTTGTCTCCCTGAGTTATTTGTAAAAATATAGAGAAACAAATAATTATGCAAAATATTTCAGATTTCTCTATACTACACACAGATTATTTCCTATCAACTGAATATCATGCCTGTCATAAATATTACATACCACAGATATTTTTTGGACAGCAAGTTTGTTCTTCAATTACACTGACAATCACTTCAGCTTCTCTATCACACATTGGAGATGGCTGCTTATCACATCCAGCCTCTGTATCAATAATGTTCCCATTCTCCATGCACTTGTACATGCAGCATCCTTTATTGGAGCCAATCCAACTCTCCCCAACAGAGTGAGGATGCCCTTCGTTATCTGTACAGACTATTTTAAAAAAGTAAAAAACAAATCTTTTTCAATGACATCTAAAAAAAATGCCCTGTTTGCATTACAATATTATAAACTATATCTGTTATCAGCAGCTGAAAGTTAAATAACATTTGTAAGAAGCTGGAGCAAACTAAATGCTGACACTTCTAAGGAGAGAAAGGAAATATTACAGGAATTTGTTATTTGCCGCAAATAAATTTTCATTTTTGCAAAACTATAAGTAATCAATGCCTCTTGCTATATAGTTTTGATCTCAGGCTCATATGACTACAATTATGCTATACAGATTCAGAATGATCATCTATCTTTACTCTGTATATGATGTCTGAGTCATTAGAATGTTAAAGTACAGGCCTGGCTTAATTCAATACTGCAAGTGATATAAGAACTTTTATTGTCAATAAAATAATCATATTGGATTACTTCATTTTATTTTATTTGTTTTACCTTGAGCCTCAGAAATTATAATTCTATCACATCGAAATTAACATATTCTGAAGGATTTTTACCAGCAAACTGGCATTTTATAACATTCATAAAGCTCTTTCAAATTCTGAAACAGTTGGAAGGTGTAATTCCAGATTTAAATGAGAATCAACGCAATGAATTTAATGGGATTTATGAAGTTATGATTACTTTTACAGTAAAACCTCTATAGAAAAATATCACCTTCCTAGCTATACCAATTAGGGAATATAAATTCTGGAGCTATACTGGACTGTTTATTAATTGTATATTATTTGGATAAAGAGAAGATAAAAATAAAAATCTTGCCTCTGTCTATAAGTAAGCAAGAATACTTGAATGTAATAGGAAAAATATGCCAGCATATTAATAGGCTTACTCACCACATTTTTCTTCTGGAATGCAAAGGTCAGAGTCTGTTCTATGAAGAATGGTCCCCTTTTTGCAAACACAGTCTTCTCTTAAATAGGAACATGATGATTCTTCATAAAACCATTTATTTAGGCATGTTTTAGCATCACAGGGTTGGACACAAGGTTGATATTCCTTCCCATCAGGGCAAGCAAGCCCTACATGTGGAGGAAAATAAATATTGCTGAGATTTTCTTAACATTCATTAGAAAAGAGAAGAAGGGGGGGGGTGGCAAGAGGAAACATTTCTTGTGAATTATAGTTTATCTAAATGACCAGGTTTAGCTATAGATTTCAGTCTGTACAATTTGTAAATTGTTTACTTGTCATGAAAGGATAAACATTAAAGAATACAACTGATAGATCCTAGCATTAGAAAACAATGATTTATATGATTGGAAATACAGGCCCATTTCTATTAAAATCCTTGTCTGAAGATTATTTTAACTGATCTTTGCTCTAAGTGGTCACATATCGTTTTCTTCTTTTGCAGTGTTAGCATTATGTATTAAACTGATGGAGAAGAAATAGTAAGTCAAAGATCTGATTACATCTGATTAGATTTTCAAGGGTTCTTTTCAGTAACAAAAATTAGTTTGTAACCTGTAGATCTCATATATTTCTACAGTGAAATTTCAAAAGTTCCTTGGTATCAATTCTATATTATTGCTAACATATGTTCTTGAAAATAAAGATTTTATAAGATCTGTATGGACTTTAAGTTTTAATTAAATGTGCTATAACCCCAAAAGTCTTAAAATTTGTTAAATTTGTTAAATTGGCAATATGGAGCCTTGGATGTATGAATTACTTGAGATGCTAAAAAACGTGCGTAAAACTTTAAAAGGCAATAAAAAGTCAGAAATTTGGCCGGAGCACACAGATCAGGAAACAGGAGAGAGGTGGTAAGAGAAAGCATAAATGAAAAACAAGAAAATAATATTGAAGAGAAAGGAACTGAAAGTAAAAACAGTTAGATGATTTCACTGGGATTTACAGTGGCACAAAAAGGGTAGACAAGGAGGAATGTCCCCCCCCCCCCAAAAAGAACCAATCAAACAGCAAAGAGGGAAACAGTGGGAAGAGACTAGGAAAAACCCTGGGGAAAACTACTCAAACAATAAAATTAAAAGTGAGAAAAAGTATTCAGAAGAAAAGATACAATAATTATAAAAATAAAAAAATAAAAATAAGAAGGTAAGAGAATGGGATAAAAGAAGAAAATTAATAAGAAATGGAATCTTTGAGAGACCGAGAGAAAATGGTTAAAGAGGAGGAGGAAGGGAAATAAGGTACATATTAGTAGATTAAAGGGGATTGATTAATATTATTAATGGTGGATAGTTAATTAAGATATAAGGGAATTATATCAACATTATTAATTGTGGATAATTAATTAAGTTAAATGTTCTTTAAGTTAAAATTTGATTTTGATAATGTATGTTGCTTATAGCAAAACATCAACAGATGAAATGTGAAATGGCAATTTGATTTAACTTTGAAGATAATTTAAATTAAGAGATGAAGATGAAATGTTAAAGAGTGGGATGGGGAATTTGAGAAACATATTTAGCGATGGAGTTGATGTTGTTGTAAGATATTAGAAATTAAGGGCAATTAGTGATATTGTTTATGTACTAAGAAGAAAATAAGTTTTAAGATCAAAAATATGGAAAGAAAATAATTGGAAACAGAGATATCATGTAAAATGGATTATGTATATGAGAGGATGTAAAAGAAAAGATCCAGACAACAGTTTGTTCATAAAATATGTAAAAATTTCCAATAAAATAATCATAAAAACCTTTTTAAAAGATCATAAATTGAGGACTACCTGTATTAGCATTTAGTAGTTAATAACTATCAATATTAACCTATAGTATCTAGAATGTCATTGAGTAGAGAGCTAAGCAAAATATAAATTTGAGTCATTCCATTCTAAATCTAGCCTTCTGTGTATCATTAATGTCTAGCAAACAAAAATGCAAAAGCCAAGTAAAAATGAAATGATCAGGAATGAGGACATTAAACTTACAACAGTAATCTGGTGTCCTCCACTTAATGCAGATATTATGCTTGTTGCATAGTGCTACATATGCAGAAAGTGCATCACATTCATAATTCTCAAAATAGGTATTGTTAACCCACATTTTTTCACAAAAATCTTGTGGTGAGACCTAGATCAAATATATTTGATAAATCAATAATCTGGATAAATTGGAGAAAAGCATTGGTTTCATATTAACAGCTTTTGAACAAACAAAACCACAATCATTTGTGTAATATAGCTGTTTAATAACAGTTGCTGAAATGTTAATAAAATATTATTTTTTAAAATATTTATATAATTTGTATATTTAAAAAATAATTGACCAATTGATTTTTATTTATTAATCCATTTTCCCCATTTTGAAAGTCATATTTATTTAAGGCCCAGTGACCCATTTTTGCTTATGGAACCTGGTTTATTGGTAGAAAAAGGAAATTTAATTCCACACCCCTTCTGCATTTTCAAATTCTGCTGCAAAAAATTAGGGAGAGAGTTATTTAATCAATTGTGCTCATTCTGGAGCCAGATAAAGAGGTGAAATTTGTTGGGTGGTGATTTTCAAGGGCCTCATTTAAAATGTGGAGATTTAGCCTAAAAACTGTGGAGCCAGAGACGATTTTTAGAGCCGAAGTGGTGCAGTGGTTAGAGAGTACTATTGCAGGCTACTTCAGCTAACTGCTAGCTGCAATTCAGCAGTTCAAATCTCACCGGCTCAAGGTTGACTCAGCCTTCCATCCTTCCGAGGTGGGTAAAATGAAGAACCAGATTGTTGGGGAAAATAGGCTGACTCTGTAAACCGCTTAGAAAGGGATGTAAAAGCACTATGAAGCGGTATATAAGTCTATGTGCTATTGCTATTAATTCTTTGAGAAACAGGTGAGAAAGAATCCTATTCCTCTGAGTTGGGAGGGTAGTCTAAATCGATAGATCTATATCAACATTTATATAAACAATTAAAAACTTCCCAGCCCTATCTGCCTATATGTTACAATTCTACCATGGTCTACCCAAATTTAAGTCTGATCCTTTGGCACCACAAGCTTGCCACCCGTTCTGTACTTATGATTATTTCACACTCACTTTTTTGTGACAAGGGGCAAAAACCCACTTTTGTAAGAGTTCCATACAATATGTACAATTATCTTCTGTGCAGTTTCTAATGGGTCTTCTTGTTGTTACATCAAAAGATTTCTCAATTTCCCAACTTTTGATAAAAATTTCAACTTCTTCCATCTTTGTAATTATTGTTCTATTTTGCATTTTCAAGTCATCAGCGGGGTCACCATTGCAGACACCTTAAAAATAAGCATATACTTAAATATATATGAAATGATTGAAACAGCCTTACATTTCTCAGGGAGGAAAACAAATTTAAATTTTCTCATCCATTTGTTAAAAACTAGAAAAACTATTAAAATAACGTATAATCAATTTAAGAATAGATTTTTTGATTTCCTGCATCCATCTGCCCATCTTTTACTTAAAAAAGAAAACACAGAGTATATCACGTCTAGGTAGTCCTCGACACTACCACCTGAAAAATTTCTGCTACCAATCATGATAGCAGAGCCAAGGTGGCGCAGTGGTTAAATGCAGCACTGCAGGCTACTGCTAGATCAGCAGGTCAGCGGTTCAAATCNAACTCCTCGTCCCAATAAAACAACTTTTATATAGTTTAAAGGGAATTCCTCTCCAGCAAAGTCCCGGCCAACGGTCTTTCAAGAGATTTCACTACAGACCTTTATCAGGCTTGGAGAGCTGCCAGGCCGATATCTTCCAAATGCCACTTTGCAGTAGACAATACTTGGCAAGGAGTCAGGAACAGATCTTCACCCAAATGAATTGAACTAATTGACTCCTGCAAACTCCTCTCCCCATTCACTCCTCTTTTATTTTCTCTGGGAGGGGCCATTCCCTGTCCACCTGTGGCTTTACTCCTGAATCAGCCCTTGTTCCCTTCTCCTGGCAGCTCTGCGCATGCACACATCGGGAATAGGTTCCAGCTGTTCTTCTGCTCCACTGATCTCCGACTCCGAAGGCAGCTGATAACTGTCAGACGGCCATGGTCCCTTCTCTGCCTCCAACGCAGAGCCCTCATCTGAGCCTTCCCCAGACTCCAGGACTGGCCCATATTCCTCCCCAACCTCCTCACTGCCTGAATCTGCTGCCAGCTCCACTGGCTGCTGGCGGACCACAACAGTTAGTTTACACAATGAATGGATTAGTGTGCACTTTTGTTTTGCTTTTTCTATTTCATAGTCTTCCAATTCATGCTATTGTGGATTCAATGCTTGTTGCCATTGTTGTTTTAGATTTATACGGCTGCCCAATTTGCAGAAACAACTCTGAGCGACTTACAGTTGGAACCAAGAAATAAACAAAGCAGTGCAACAAAATCTGAAAGACGATACTTTCAGAAAACAGAAAGAAGAGGATGACAGAAGTAACAATAAATAACCCAAGCAATTGAAGCCAATCGACACATCACTTGGGTGCTCTGACCAGGTGGTTAAGATGCTGAAAGGTTGGCAGTTCAAGACCCCAAGGATCTCATGATTGCATGAGCTCCTGTCCTCACTCCAGCTCCTATGAACCTAGCAGTCAGAAAACATGTAAATGTGAGTAGATAAATAGATACCACTTCAGTGGGAGGGTAACAGCATTCTGTGCACATTGGCGAATAACCATGGTTGCCACATGACCACAGATGCGTCTTTGGACATTGTATAACTTCCTTACCTAGGAAATGTAGATGAGCACTGCCCCCTAGAACTAGACATCACTGGATAGGATCAAAGGACTCAGAGTCTCATGGCTACTTATTCTTGTGAAAGCTAGGCCAATGTCTTTTCCCCCTCATCCTAAGTCCCCCAATCTTCAGACCCTGTGAGGAGACGTTGATAGCATCACTTGGTTGGCCCTGGTTAGTTAATACAGATGGGTTTTGACAGACATGAACTCTGGGCCCTACCTAACAAAATGAAATTCAATGTAGAGAAAAATAAAGTTTTACACTTAGGCAAGAAAAACCAAAAGGACACATATAAACTGGGGGAAACCAGGCTTAATAGTAGTGATTGTGAGAGGGACCTTGGAGTCTTAGTGCACAACCAGCTAAAAATGAACCAGCAGTGTGCAGCGGCAGCCAAAAAAGCCAATGCAATCCTAAATTGCATTAACAGAGGGATATAATCAAGACCAAGGGAGGTACTAAGGTCACACTATAAAGCCCTAATAAGACCACACCTAGAATACTGCAGTTTTGGTCACCACACTATAAAAAAGTTGTTGAGACTCTAGAAAAAGTGCAGAGAAGAGCAACCAGGATGATTAGGGGACTGGAGGCTAAAACATATGATGAACGGTTGAGGGAACTGGGCATGGCTAGTCTAGTGAAGAGAAGTACCAGAGGAGATATGACAGCAGTGTTCCAATATTTGAGGGGCTGCTACAGAGAAGAAGGGGTCAAACTATTTTCCAAGGCTCCTGAATGCCAGACAAGCAATAATGGATGGAAACTGATCAAGGAGAGATTCAACCTGGAAATAAGGAGGGACTTTCTGGCAGTGAGAACCATCAACCCATGGAAGAGTTGCCTTTGGAAATTGTGGGAGCTTCATTACTGGAGACTTTCAAGAAGAGATTGGATTGCCATTTCTCGGAAAGGGTGCAGGGTCTCCTGCTTGGACAGGGCATTGGACTAGATGACCTACAAGGTTCCTTCCAACTCTGTTAATGTTAAAATTTAAAAAGTCCAACTCTGAGTGTCTTTTGGGGCAGTCAGAGAGGACTGTTTCCACACCTGTAGTTATTGAAGCTTCCATGATTAAGTGTGATCTCATCATGATCTCATAATGATGGAATATCTCATCTAGCAATTCATTGTAGAGCAATGTTTTCTAACCTTGGGAACCTGAAGATGGATGGACTTCAACTCTAAGTCAACATGCTGGCTTGGGAAATTCTAGGAGCTGAAGTCCTCATATCTTCAAGCCACCAAAAAAACCCACTGCTGTATATGTGAAATTATAGCAGAGACACAGATTCCTGCCACGCCACATTCTTATTTTCCCTTTCGCTTCGGGTAGATCATTTCCTCAGCATTTCTTCCCAAATCATTACGTCTTGAAGTATGCTTTTCATGTATCTTGGAGCAGACCTTCCTTTAATACCATACAGTGAAACTGCACTGAGAAATTCAGGGGGAAAAATGCATTTCAAAGGGTAATTGATCGATCCGAGAGTGACACTGCATAAATTTGCATTGAGATGAGAAATCCTCTCTTCTCTTCCCCCCACCCCCAATCCCTTAACTGCAGGGGTGAAATGCTACCTGTTCAGAGCGGTTTGCACAAGCCAGTAAAAAAATGCTACCGGTTCGCTGAAACTGGTAGTAAAAAACTGCTACCGGTTTGGGTGAACTGGTAGTTCTGATGATCAGCTGTGAGACAATCAGCTGTGCCGCACAATTTATATTCGCTAGAAATCACGTGGCACAGCTGATCATGGGAACTACTGGAATCTAAATCACGCGGCACATCTGTCCCCCCTTACAGCTGTTCTACTTACCTTTGCAGACTCAGAAAAGGCTTCTTCATCCTTTTTCAGCGATGCATGGTAGCATCTGCAGTGCGCATGTGCGCAAAGCGTGTGTTCGGCAGGCATGCGCGCACGAAGCAAACCGGTAGCAAAGCGAACCGGTAGCAGACTTTAAAGCATTTCACGCCTGCTTAACTGGCATTGGTGGAGGAGCACTTCCTCTTTCATTTTTCTTTCAGCACAGAGTTGACGTCCATCTCTCTGAGCCGAATGCAGACAGAAGCCAGTTCCTTTGCAATCAGCAGGCTTGTAAAAAAAAAGACTTTACTGTTGGCTTTAGATTAGCAGTGAAGTCAGGGCTGGCCTGGCTACCAACAGCTGTTAATACCTCTCTCTCCTTGGCTGTTGACAGGCATTAATAAAAACCTAATCTGAGGAAATTATGAAAAACCTCCTCATTATGCAATCTGGTTTATGTTTTGGCATGTGCCAGGAGTTGGCTGCTTTTCAAGGGAAACCACCACATTTTCGCTTCTATTTATTTTACTTCTTGGCTCGGCTTCAACAAGCTACGCTGAGAGTCTGGATGGGGATGGATTTGCTACTTCTCTCGCCCCGTAATCTAGGCCGTGTTGGAAGAAATGCCCATCTGGGTTCAGTTCCAAGCGGGGAGAAAGACCCTGGAAACATGGAGGCTGCTTGGAAAGATGGTTTAATGGTGGACAGGACCACATGCCTGGAAGATGTTGGGTGAAGAAAAAAAAAGGGAAGAGATGCTGAGTGTGCCTGGGTTTTATGCCCTCTTTGGGCTTTGAACTTGAGCTTGTGTTCTGATTGATTGTCAGACTCCCATGGGGCCATGCAGGGGCAACTCTGTAGGCTGTCCTGAGTCCCAAGCTTGGTTGAGCCTTGCT